CAGGGGACTGGCGAAGGCAAGGGAGGGGCTGGGCGGGGGAGCAGGGCAGGAGCAGCGGAGAGGAGGGGGCAGGGCCAGAGGGGCTAGAGGGGCCAGGAGGGAGCCGACAGGCGGGGCCTTGTCCCTTGTCTGCGGCCCTTGTCTGCGGCCCGGGCTGTCCGGAGACTCTGTTCCCTGAGGCACAGGGGTTTGATTGTTTGGTTGGTTGGTTTGTGCTGTGCTTTGTTTTTCTTCCAATTTAAATTTAAGCTTGTTTTATCCTTGTGTGTGTGTGCGAGTGGGTTTTTGTCTGGGAGAACTGGGCGAGTGAGAGGAACTGCAGGACAGACAAGGCGGGGGACCAAGGCAAGGTCTCGGAAGGGATCCCGTTGGCAGGCCAGGAGATGGCCTTGGCGGGGGTCACGGGTGTTGCTGCCGCTGCGAGAGCTGCGACATGTTCGCCCTTCTCCCCCGGGAGAGGCAGGGATACACTTGCCTCGATGCAAGATGGTGCCAGCACGGCCTCCTCCTTCCCTGGCACCGATCTGGAGCTGGGAAACAGGCTCTCTCCACTTGGGGAGGCTGGGGCTGATGAGGCCTTGGGGGACCAGCAGGACCCCCAGCCTGGGACGACAGGCGGCAAGGGGGCCGCTGCAGGAGAGGCGAGGGCCAGGGCACGGCCGCCCACCAGCACCCGGAAGGTACGGCGGCGGGTGACTGTTGTTGGGGACTCCCTGCTGAGGGGCACTGAGCCGGCGGTGTGCCGCCCCAACCTGGAGACAAGGGAGGTCTGCTGCCTGCCGGGCGCACGCATCCGGCTGTGAAGGACAGAGTGGAGCGTCTTGTTCGCTCCGGGGGTCGCCAGCCGCTCCTGGTGATCCATGTGGGCACAAACGACGTGGCCAGGCAGGGTCTGGTTGGGACCACCAGGGACTTCGAGGCCTTGGGGAAGACACTCAGGGAGCTGAAGGCCCAAGTGGCCTTCCTGTCAATCTTACCTGTCCGGGATTTGGGCCAGGAAGGGACAGGAGGGCCTCCGAGGTGAGCAACTGGCTTAGGGTGCGGTGCCAGAAGGAACGCTTCGGGTTCCTCGGCCACGGCACCCGGTTTCTTGCCAATGGACTTCTGGCAAGGGACGGGTTGCACCTCACGAGGATGGAGAACAGGTCCTTTTGAGATGCTCTAGCGAGCTTCGTCCAGAAGACTTTAAACTGAGCTGGGGGGGGTGTTCAGGCCCCCCAGTAACGTGGCTCCACTGGAAAGAGA